GCTTAAACCCTAACCCTAAAGGGTCCAAAGGACCCATTTAATTACGTATTCAGGTTTTGGATAGTTGTCATGTAGGTTACTATTTTGAAGAGTATATGCCAACTGGGCACTTGGACCCTTAGGGTGACACGCTTAAAGGGAACTCCAGAAAGTTGGAATATGGATTAATGGTAGGATCCCCTATAATTTACCTTAAAGGGGTTACGAAAATGATATTCCAACTTTCTGGCTTCTACTGTAACCCTAAACACCCTCCGAAGCTTCTGAGGTGTGGCATCAGCAGCGGAAGCCTCGTCCGCAGAGTGCCCCCTGCTCCAGGCGTGGGGAGTCCTTGTGATTTCAGTACTGCCTTATCATAAACTTACCAGAAAACCTACTGTTTTGTAGGGGTCCCCATAGATTGAGATGTTGCAAAGAAACACGACATCACTGCCTGGGCTGCAGCTTAAGAGAAGTTGTGTTTTTAGTTGCTCGAGTGCTATGCTAGCTGTAGGAGGCCAGTCCCCCTAATAAACGTGTAGCGACGTCTTGGTTAAGGGTTTATGGGTTAGAAGCTGCCCCCATTATTTTCCTATTATACCACTTTTACTGGGTGGGGGCCCCTTCTAAGGTTTAGGGTTTGGGCCAGTTTAAGCTTTGGGGCTGGCATGTTTCAAAGGGAAAAGGAGGGACCCTTAATGGGGACCCTTACCCTATAATGGGCTATATAATAGGTATATAGTAGCTATATTAAGGGTACATACCTAGGGGTCCTTATTAAGGGTCCCTCCTTTTACCCTTGGAATGTTGTTGCAAAAGCAATGGTGAACTCCCGACTCTAGAGCGAGTCTGTATGGAAGCTCTGGGGTTCACGTATGGCACTGTCCAATGCTGGTTCGATTGCCAGGGTCCGGCTGTTTAGGGTTTAGAGTTAGTACATGGGTATCTACAAAGCGACGGGGATCTAGAAACTTACTCGAAATGGCATCCAGCAATGATGACTGCACTTAGGTTGCCTATTTTACTTGCATGGAATAAAAAAACTCAACGACGTGCTGTACCCAACAGCCCAACATCCTCCAAAGCAAGGTCTTCGAGCTCCACAAAAACCCTCAACCCCAAAACCCTAAACCCCTAAACCCTAACCCCCTCAACCCGAAACCTCAAAACCCCAAAGCCCTAAACCCTAAACCTCAAAACCCCAAAGCCCTAAACCCCTAAACCGTCAGAAGCACCGAATTGAAGAAAGCAGGCGAGTACTGGAACGGAGCCCGTCGCAGCTTTTCCAGCAGCCGGGAAGCA